TACTTCCATGTGTTCATCTGTTGCTGTAAAAATAGACAGAATTAAAACACGTGAAGCCAAGTCGCTCGTACGTGGCACCTGGCCTAACCTTGGCAGAGGGTGCCAACTCGCTGCCGTTATTACTGAACCGCCCCGCGCACGCACGCACACACTCACACGCTCGCGCCGCCTCTGCCCCCTTGCCCGCCGCCCTTCTCACGCCTGCCCGCCGCCTGCCACAGCTCATGCCCAGCGCCCCTTCTCTCTCTCCCTGTCCCCTGTGCCCGCTGCCCCTTCTTCTCACCCGTCCCCTCCTCCTCATTCCCCACCATCTTCTTCCCTCTCGACCCTCTTGCTCCTCCCTCTCCTCTTCCTCTCTTGCCAGTGCCCTCCCCCCTCCCCCCCCCCTCCCCCAGGCTCCAGCTCACCCCCAGCTCACATCCCTCCACAATATACCTACCCCAGGGTATTAGGCCACACAGTGGAGCCAGAAGTCCCCATAAAAACATTTTAGTGAGGTTTACCAAGGTGTTGAGAATATGGTCTAGTGTATGGGGAAGGAGGAGAGAGAGAGAGAGAGAGGAGAGAGAGGAGAGAGAGAGAGAGAGAGAGAGAGAGAGAGAGAGAGAGAGAGAGAGAGAGAGAGAGAGAGAGAGAATGAAGATAAGGGGGTAGAGAAGAAAGAGGGAGGGGGATGGGGGAGAAAGAAGAGAGAGAGAGAGGAATGAGATAAGGGGGAGAAAGAAGAGAGGAGGGGATGGGGGAAGAGAGGAGAAAGAGAGAAATTAAGAGAAGGCGAGAAGAGCAGAGGGAGGGGATGGGAGAAGAGAGGAGATTGCCCTAGAAGGAGAAGGGAGATAGAGGAAGGAGGAAGGAGGAGGGCGTCTTAAGGAGAGGGGGAATAGATAGATGAGATGGGAGGGTGGAGAAGAGAGAATGGTGAGAGGAGGAGAAGAGGGTAGGGAGGGAGAGGGAATAGGGGGATGGAGAGTGTCCAAGTGAGGGAGAGAAAGGAGAGGGGAGGTGGAGCACCATCCCAGGGATGGGGAAGGGAAGGTTGGGGAAAGATTATCCTCGGGAGAAGGATAGGGATAAATGGAAGAAGGAAGAGAGAAGGGAGAGAGAAGGAAGAGAGAAGAGAGAAGGGAGAAGAGGAAAAGGAAAAGGGAAGTGAGCAAGACAGTAAGGGGAATAGGAAAATGATTATCTACCCACCCAGTATAAGGATGTTGGAGTAAAATAGAAAAGGACGAATATAAGCAAGAGAAAAGAACAGAGAAAGATACAATACAAGAAAAAAGGGAAACCGAACGTAAGAATGAGAGAACAGAGGAGGAAAGAAAAAAAAAAAAAAGAGAAGGAAAATGAGATGGAGACGAAACGAATACCCAAATAAGAGTGCGCATATACCCGCCTCCTCCTCACCCTCCCTAACCCCCCCCCTCTTTCTCTCCCTCTCGCAACACCTTCAACATTGTCCGTCACTCGCATTCTCTCGGGCAGAGTCAAGGGAGAGTTGCGACAGAGAAATGTGCAGCGACTATGCAATGTCACCTCTATTCCCCTCCGTGTGTCTGTGTCAAATGGGCGATACCCTACCCCCCCCCTTACCCACGCATGCCCCCCCCCCACCCTCATGGCAGTACAGACCACAACTATGCCCTGCTGCTCCCCCCCCCCCTGTATCACCCCTACCCCTTCCTTACATTTTTCTCTTTCTCCTGTCTCGGTGTCTGCAGCTGTGTCGCATTAATTGGAGGGCAGGAATTACAAATATAGGTAGAAAATGATTGATCAAAGGAGAGAGGAAGAGAGAGAGAGAGAGAGAGAGAGAGAGAGAGAGAGAGAGAGAGAGAGAGAGAGAGAGAGAGAGAGAGAGAGAGAGAGAGAGAGAGAGAGAGGAGAGAGAGAGAGAGAGAGAGGGGAGGGAGGGAGGGGGAGGGAGGAGGAGGAGGGAGGGAGGGAAAGGGAGAGGGAGAGGAATGGAAAGAAAATCAACCAGCCAGCCAACCAGAAAGAGAGTGAGGAAGAGACAGGTAGACAGACAAAGAAAAGCGAAAAAGCACATTATATTTGTCCTTGTCAAAGTGGAGGTATGCACTGAAGTATGTTGGCCTTAGTCACGGTCATACGAAGATACGTCATCTACAAGGAGTACATGACTTGATATGCCAGATTTACGGTGTTTTCTCCATACAAAAATAGATAGCCAATTAGACAAAAGTGAGTAACAAAAATTAATGAACAGAACAAAAGATAATTTGGCAAACAAATGAACACTTAAATTGAGACATAAGTCAGTCAGTCAATGAATAACACAGTTTACCCTAAATAATGTTAATGAGATACAGGTAAGAGAAGTGAAGAAAACGAGGAGGAAAAAATAGGAATGTAAAGAAACTGGGGTGGAGATAGATGGAGAAAATAGACACCTAAAGACATATTTAAATTGACCGGCAGAAACGAAGAGGGACATAGCCAGATATACATATAAATCTAGAAAAGGAAGAGCGATAGAGAGAGAGGGAGAGATAGGGAGGAAGAGGAGGAGATGGAGAGAAGGAGGGAGGGAGGGAGGAGAGGGAAAGAGAGAGGGAAAGAGAGAGAGAGAGGGAGGGGAAGGGAGGGAGGGAGGGAGGGAGGGAGGGAGGAAGAGGGAGAGGGAGAGGGAAGGGAGAGAAGAGAGAGAGAGAAGAGAGAGAGAGAAGAGAGGAGAGAGAGAGAGAGAGAGAAGAGAGAGAGAGGAGAGAGAGAGAGAGAGAGAGAAGATTAGAGAGATAGAGAAAGCTAGGAATATAGAGACAGAAGCAGAGAGAGCAGAGAGAAGCTAGAATAGAGAGAGAGAAAAGCAGATATAGAGAGAGAGAAAGCTAGATATAGAGAGAGGACAGAAGCTAGAGAGAGAGAGAGAGGGAGAGAGCCAAACAGCCAGAACCCGAGGAAGTGCCAGTCAGCACATTGACAATCCTCTTTTTGCAAGAACCAACTGACTCCCCTCACCCCCCCCCCTCTATCTCCTCCTCCTCCTCCATCCAATCGCCACCCCCTAATCTCTCCCTTAACCCCCTTCCCTTCACCCTTAACACACATCTCCCCCCCCCCCAATCTCCACCCCTTTCACCCTTAACCCCCCCACCCCACATTATCCCTTCCATCCCATCTTCCCACTCCCCCCCCCATCTCATCCATCTCCCCAACCCCTCCCTCCCGCCCCCACCCTTCATTCCTGCACCTCCGCCCATCTCCCTCCCTCCTTCCACCCCTGCATCTCCACCCATCTCCCCACCCCTCCCTCCCCTCTCCTCCCCTCCCCCTCCTCCTTCCCCTCCCTCCCCTCCTCCTCCCCTCCATCCCCTCCACCCACCCCCACAATATAAAACCCCAACTAAGGGCGTGGACGACGAGGATACCAACGTCAGTCATATGGTACTATTGTTCCCGAAGCGGTGCCACTGTCCCTCTGGTCACCATGTGTGGCACTCGATGGCACTCGATGGCACTCCCAGGCCTGCCAACCTCCCCGCATCTTCCGCATGACGAAGAGAGGTTGGCGGGGTTTTATTTCGCTGACTGTTGTCTTGGGTAAAGGATGAGGTTGCGGTAATGATGGCATTAATGATTGATATGGTGATGATAATGAGATTAATAATGGAAATGATAATGATGATGATGATAATGAGATTAATAATGGAAATGATAATGATGATGATGATGATAATGAGATTAATAATGGAAATGATAATGCAAATGGCGGTAATAGTGAAAATAATAAGTATAAAAACGAAAATAGTAATATTAAGAATAAGATTGATGCAAATAATGATAATGAATGATAATAATAATAATAATATTATAATAATATAATAATAATAATATTAATAATAATAAAATAATAAATGATTATAATAAAATAATAATAATAATGATAATAATAATGATAATAATAATAACAATAACAATAACAATAATATAATAATAGCAACAAGATCAATAACAATAATTGTAACAATGACAATAACACTAATAACACACAATAATAAAAATAATAACAACAATGACGTTAAAGATAACATTACGACGCCATTACGTAGCCTAGATGTAAAAAATCAGAAATATAACGAAATAGAGACACCGCACAAAACAAGAGCGTTTGTAAAGGAGAAACATTACTTCATCATTACTATCGTAATCGCATTAAGAAAAAAATTGGAGAAAAAACAGGATCATGGATGATTGATGGTTATGGTGATGATAACAATAACGTACAATAACAATAATAATATGATAATAATAATAATAAAAACAGCAATAATAACCATAACAATAATAACAAAAATAATAATAACAATAATAATAACAAAAATAACAATAACAATAATAACAATAATCATGATAATAAAATAATAGTAATGAAAATAATAACAATAACTATAACAATAATAATAAATAATAGTAACAACAACAACATAATAATAATAATAAAGTAAGAATCTATCTTCAATTGGATACGACGATGCAAGACAAAAATTAATCTCATCTTGTACACATTTTTTCCAAGATGTCAGTCACGGTCTTGAGAGAACACGCAAGACCACTACTGTCAGGTCAGACTGAGGTATGAGGTCGGGTGTGTGTATGAGGCGTGTGAGGTATGGCGGTCACACTGGGGTATGAGATTAGACTGAATGAGGGGTTAGGGAGGGAGGGAGGGAGGGAGGGAGAGGAAGGAGAGGGAGAGGGGAGATGGAGGGGAGGAGGGATGGAGGGAGAGGGAGATGGAGGGGAAGAGAGGGAGATGGAGGGAGGGGAAGTGAGGGAGATGGAGGGAGGGAGGAGAGGGAGATGGAGGGAGGGTGAGGAGAGAGGGAGGGAAGGAAGGAGAGAAGAGAGAGAGAGAAATGCACTATAGATTAGCAATCTATTACTAACCACCAAACTGCTATTCCCACGAATACCAAAAACCCTCTAATAACCCTTACATTATTACCAATATAAACAAATCCTAAAATAACAAAGGTACA